GTATAGATTCTTTTAATTGCAAAAAGTATAGCGTAAAATTAAACTTTTGAAATAATTTGTTTCAATTTCTAATAAATTATATCATTCAAATATCGTTGAAATTATAGATATTGAATATTTTGGATTCTCTTGTAATATAAATTTTCTTTAAAAGTTTAAAAAGAGAACGCACATATAATAAATGGTCTTTTATTTACATATATCTGCCGTTTTTTTCTTTATTTAACTTCACTTACTTATCTAACATCTTCAGACAACTGACAAGCGGTTCCGTTGAACATTCAATAGCCAATAACCGATAGTTGAAACTGAAGCATTATGAAAAAAGATGAGAACAAAATGCGCACTAAAGGAAAATTTGTTAAGAGCAATCCTTTGATCTTGTACAGAACGAGTGAAGTTTCATGCTTTTAAACGTAAAATTTCTGCAAGCAACATTTGCCAATAGCTGCCTCGCGTTAGTAATCATATGTAAATATCGCGAATATTCTGTTGATGTCAAAAAATAATCCAAAAATTGAATTAAATTCAGTGCAAAATAAAGTGTATAATCGTATATATACAAAAGATCATCACAAAAAACATTTGAAAGAATTTAATCTTTATGAAGATTGATATGTGTTTTCGTTTCCATACTTTAAAAGTGACACAATTTAAAAATGTGACTTTTGAGTTGTTACCGTGAATTAAAGATTACTCTAGTAATCATGAAAAGTAAACTAATTTAACTTTACAGTCCATTCGTCAACACTTTTTACAAAAGTATATTTTGAGTTGTGTAAATAAAAAGGAGAATCTTCTAGAGACAAATATTTAGAGTTAAAACGGTTTTGGTGATCAAAGTTTCAAAAAAGTTTCATTTTGAATTTAATTATTTTTTAGCTGATCAAGGTAAATATATTATATTGTATTAAATACAAACTATTGGTAATATTTCAAATTATGTCACATTTGATTATTCCGAATTTGTTATAATTTTGTACGATATTAAAATTGTCATAGCTGAGAAAGGATGTTCTTGAGGATTATAAAACAAAAATAACAAAAATGACATTTGATGTTTTTAATAATATATTCTTTTTGTCAATATTATTTGATTAGTCAATAATTTTCTGTTAAGTTGAAAAATAATTTTTCATCTGTGTTCTAAAAAACTTAATTTTTTTAGTTGAGTCACTTTTAAAATAAAGGAAAGGTTTTCGTTTTTATATAATATACCTACTCTTGCTTTATTTTAATATTAATAAAACAAATTAAAAGCTACCCATGCCGAATAAATAATTAAAAACATTGAATTATTTAGTTATTTCTTGTATCACAATAATTTTCCAAGTTTATTAATTAGTGCTTCATTTAAAAATGTCTGCAGCTCCTATCCATTTTTCCAATTAATAATAACAATATTATATCTCATATATTTAAAAATATATATGGTATATTTTTTTTCAGAAAATATGATTTCTTTAAAAAAATCAACAATAAATCACTTTTCTTAATTAATTGTAAATTCTCTCCAAATTATTCATATATGTATAGATGAATATTTATAATGTTCATTTATTTCAGAAAATATCATACGATGTGACGCACGATGATATGAAGGATAGAACCAATCTATGTACCGGCGGATGTGTTGATTTCATTCGTGCAATGATTAAGAGATGATGTAATGCAAGTTTCATACGCTGCTATCATTCGGATAGTGTAACAATCTTATCTATCAAATGCCACGGTACGCGCGTGATGTCAGATTCTCGATGTAATATAGTCGTACGTGTCTATCTGCGTAATACGTGACGTTGCAATACGTCTGCCTATTCGCACTGTGATGCGTCATTCCAGATAGTTCATAATACGGATATATTGTGGGCGGGTAGAAACAGAACTCCAAGAGCTTTGGTTGCTTTAACTCACTCCGACACGTAGATAAATACATTTTACATAAATATATGGAGAAAAGTATAAATTTGCAACAAAATCACAAATATGAAAGCAAATTAATCGATTAATTATTCCTTGGACGAATCGCTGATTAATCAAAGTACACGTAGGAATTATTACGAATGTAAAATAACAATGGAATCTTCAAATAACAATTGGCAAAATGAATATTTGTCAAATACGATTGCAAACAACTCGACGGCGGCTCATGAATAGAGATATATAATTAATCGTATTTTCGGCCACAGAGATTGAAAATAATCCCTGATTATTTCCGGCGATTAAAATATTAAACCTAACCGGCTTTGCATTCATAGTAAGTAGTAATCGCGCGGTAAAATTTCCGGAAATACTACTTTGATCGTCAGAAGTGCGATTAAGACGCGAGATTAAAGTTTCGCATTTAGCGTCACAGGTGCGACACAAGCACCATTCTCCGATAGTATTCCACGGGGAAACCCTGTAGATGTTAGTATACTATATTATATACGATATATATATATATATATGCACACACACGCGCGTGTCCACAGGATAGCAGACAAAACGTGTTTCGTTACCGTAGTTAACTGCGTTTACACAACACATCTTGTACAGCTTCGACCATCGTCTCGAGGCCGTGCAGCCGTTCGCATCTGAGCACTGCTGTTAACGCCGAGGAAGCTTCGACGTAATGTGTAACGTTAAGGACGTTGGACCATGTATAGAACCAATTACATTTGCGATTATATAGGTATACATCAGTACCGGGAACGTACGCAATTACAAATATGCAGGTACTCGTATATATCTTCTCGTGAGTATTCAATTATCGTGAAATTCGAAATCGAGAGAAGAAGTTTTTGCCTTCTAAGTTTCTCTAAATCTCGCTTTCTAATTATGGCTTTATAATCGTTTAATGTATCATCGCGTAATAATGAAGCACGAACTGTTTTTCAAACGCAGACTCTTGGCAAAATTTCTTTTCGTAACTGATTGAAGAGTGCAGTAAAATGAAGCTTAATAAGTGCGATTTAACGGAAGAGATTTTTTGCTCGAGCAGTCTGATTTATAAACGGAACTTTTCGCAGGATTTTATTTTGCCGTCCGGGCGTGCTTAGATGTAGCGCTAATTAGCGCGCTAATTAGAAAGCTGTTGCAGTGCAAAATATGAAAGCCCTTATCGTATCATTTATGATTAAACAAACGCTCAAGATTTACGACCCTAAAAGGATTTAAATTACGCAAAAACAACGAGATTGATTTACGCAACTGAACTTTGATTTTATGGTACGTAGAGCCCGCGCCCGCGCCGGTTAATCCGGAAATTATCGATGACACGCTGTAACAATCACTCCTCGTAGTTTGACTTTCGCGAGTCCGTACACCAGGGAAAGTGCGTAACTCCCGAGTAACACAGCCGGTTATACGATCAGCCCCGCAGGTGTTTCCACGGTATGTGCTTAATATTAATATGTGCTACACCTATACGCCCGAATGAGGAATAGTTTGAAGCATAGTTTCTCGCTCGCGCTCACGTACTAGTAGTAATCTTCTTACACGTTAAGGACGCGCGCTCCGGTGCGGGCATACGTGCGCGGGCTGGTATTAAAGGAACGGAGGAGCGTGAGGTGAATTGCGAGTGCGTAATATACGCGTACACGTTATTTGCGTGCGCGGGTACAAACACGTGTGCCTGCGCACTCTGCACTCGCACACCATGCACCATCGTTGTCCGAAGTTATAAATACAATTTCGCGCACTCCCTCGCGCGCGGTTCGCGCTTATAGCCGGACGATAAAAAATGTTGGCAGATGCGGTCGCATTTCTACAGCTCTGTATCTTCTGTGTGAAATTCCCGCGTGCGCTTTGCCGGTGCACCGTACACACCTGTCTTCCTAGGCGCAAAAATATCGCTTCTATTAATGCGGAAATATTTAATTTCCTGCACGTCGACAGGCAAATGCAGGCATAGCCGCACGTTTGTGTTCGTGTTTATTGCAACAAGTCGAATCGCATCTTTCGTAGGGAACCGCTCGAAATTCGCATTAACGGTCCACGTAATGGATCCTTTGTTGCCGCAAACGCTGAAACGTGCTAATAATTTTTGTACTTCACGCGAGTGAATTAAAGCGACTTACACGAATTATGTTCTAACGATGTTAGCACATAATGTGCAACGCCTGCGTAATACAATACCGTCATGCAGTTAATCTCAGACAGTTTGCAACCTAAACTCCTAAACTACTAATACGTATGTATAGCACGCCCTTGATTTTCAGTTAATTTCAAGTAGGAATGAAATTTATATTTAAACAGAATTTATCACTATGAAGTAAAATATTATAATGTATAAGGTAAAAAAAAAAGAGAATGATGTGAAAAAGAGTTCCGATAGCTTTACCCTGCGTAGCAGAGTGTTTATATTAATTTTTTTATCAGGTGCTTTTGCCTTTCTGAATAATGGATTTAGTTACGTCACCTCGGCATCGCTCAATGTCGATCGCGTTTTCACCCGAGAAACGAGAAAGAAAAGCCATCGAAACGGCCGTTCAAGGCGCTCGATCGAGTGCGTTGAACGCTTGTAAATTTCTCGTTGACTCCGGTAAACTTTTCACCACCGTCTCGGGACGGTACACACATTTTCGCGTGCTGTATTAACTGATCGACCGAGCGAGGGCAACGCGACGTGCATTGTGTAACGCGATCGTGTGCGTCGACTTGCATACGGTCGTATCAGTGTATATCGGTATGCATATACTGTTAAGGTACGGACATATACGTATACACACAGTGCTCCAACAGGCGGGAAACCTCCGTGTTCCACATGTGCAATCTTACTAATTTCCGAGATCGAAGCATGTCTTCGAGAGAGGTGGACTGAAGATAGCAATTGTAGCAAACGAGAGACGTTAACAGAGAAAGAACGAGAGGATAGGACAGAGAGACAGAAAGAGAGAGAGGGAGAGTTTCGGATGGACGAGGATAGCAAGAGCGTGAATTCGATTAATTAAACTTCGAATTCGCGTCGCTTCGCGGAAATAGAATTATCGCGGCGTAGTCGACGGCGGCAACGCCAAATGCATCGGTTTGAGGACAGCGAGCCACCGACACCACCATCACCACCACCAGAAGGTGGTTACGTCTGCAACGAGGGTGCAACGGTGGTATTTGGAGGTCGGACGATGTAACAGCTTGCGCTTGCAGAAAGGGTGGTGGAAAGGATGTGGAATGGCAAACTAACGCGAGCCGATATATATTTACGGTTCGAAGTGGTGCAGCGAAATAGAGAAAAGTTTCGGCAGGGATTCGAGCCGTGAGAATTTAAAATCCCGCGAATCTGGCTAAGACCGTCGGACTTTTCCCCCTCGACTTCGAGTGGCGTTTCAATAATCCGCTTTGGTATCGCGCCGCTTAGCTTTCGCTGAGGCGAGGAAGAGCCGGGCAGCCGTTTATTAGGTTCTCAAGTCGAGTTCTCTTTGCCGTTGATCGATTGCCGACATCCGCCACGAGTTGTGAGAAATACGGATTTCTCTCGCTCGTTACACGTGTATACCAAAATTACTTGGAAAATTGCCCACATTACGTTTGTTTACGATTATCTTCTCTAGAATATAAGGTAACCATACAATTTCGTTATAAAATATATAAAATTGGAAATAAGCGGGGGGATACGAGGAAGTTTTCTCGCTATATTTCTTTGTTCGATATTGCGTAACTTTCTCTATTAGTACGATGTAATTTAATTCACTCAATTTAAATAAATATTCTGTTATTATTATTAACTGTGCTTTTTTCAAAATTTTTGTAATTTTATGTAACTTATTTTTTAGATTGAAAAATTTTCTTACAATTAGATAATTAATGGAAAAAGATCAACATTTATAAATATTATGAAAATACATAATATAATATAGATTATAATTAAGTATTATTATAATATCAATAATTAACTGTATTTTATACGCATATAAAAGTAAGCGACCGAGATTATGATTGACTAATAAAAAGTTGAAGAAACTTATAAAATCTTTCAACTTCCAGAGAGATGATTCAATAATCCGCTTATGTCATCGGTTTGGTTACAAAAAACTATGAAAAGTCTGCATCTTTATTGGTACATTAAAATATAACTTAAAATGACGATGAAATAATATCTTTGGTAAAAGAAGTACATCTATTATAAACACAAATTTCATCTCGTTAATTCTTGTTTTAAAAAATATTTTCGTTCGTATATAAGCTATCACTAAAAAAACAGTCTAATAACATAAAAATATCGAAAAAATATCTACAAGTTAAAAAAAGGGAACTAGAAAAAAATAATACAGAATTAGATATTAATGATGATACAAAATAGCAAATCTAAAATTAAATTAAGGTTGATTTCAAATAGGATAGATCAGGGCGAATCGGATCACCGGGCGAATCGGATCACTGGGCGAATCGGATCATTATAAGCTTTGAGACAGTTATCGTTACTTTTTTACTTCATGCGATCTGTTTTATCAAACTAATTACTCCCCCCTGCAGCGAAAATAACAGATAACAATTTTATATTGCGTGTGATTCAATGTCAATCGACGATATTAACACAGAGCTTGCGAATGGCACGAAGAAATTTCGTCTCTCATATAAAAAGTCACGACCTTAATTTTGTGAGTTCATAACGAAAAAGTATGTTAAAATGTGTGTAAATTATAATGATTTTTGCAGTGTATAGTTTTCTAAATCAGTCTAATAAATAGTTTAATAATATCATTAAGATGGTTTTGAGAAAATTAATGTAGTTTATGAAGTTGACATATGGGGTTAATCGAATAACCTCTTTCGGGGTGATTCGGATCAGGAAATTTTTCGACCTTTTATATCTATTTTCATAAAATTATGTTCTTTTTGTTTCCTAGATGATTTGCATGTATAAACGCAAATCAGCTAATAGACATGTCCTGAGGGAATAATAAACGTGGCTGTGCAGAAAGTAAAGAAATGAGTTTACGTCGAGCTACTGATTATTACGAGATATTTTTTTGTATTAAGTAAACTATTTTTATTTTATATAACAAGTTTATTTCAGAGTCTGTTTAGAAAAATTTAAAGGTTTCAAAGAATTTATTTATTTATTTTTGTTTCTTTACATATAAACTATGGTAATCCGTTTCGCCACTTAATTTTGGAACGAATCGGATAATTCCTATTTTTTATTTTTGCATTGTGCGATAAAAAATATTATGTTTATTATATTATTCTATTATATAAAACCGAAGCTAAAAGTGTAAAGTTTACAAATTTATAATAAAACTTAATAACAGAATTAGTTTTCTTTAATTATTTTATTATCTATGAAAAAAAAATAATCCGATTCACCCTGATTTACCCTAGAAATGATACATGCTTTACATGTCAATAGAGATTTAAGATAATGTGACAAAGACGTTTTTAAAGACATATTTTTTATTTACTTTTACAAGTAAAATACGTTATAGACGAAACGAAAACTTCCAAAAGAACAACGTACTGAGAGTTGAAAGATGAAGTTTGACAAATTTATATCATTTAATCTGTCGTGAGAACGTACTGTGAACGCGATAAAAAAAACGATGTAGAAGAAAAGGCAGCGTATGTCACGACATGTACCTCCTTTCCTCCTTCGTGGCGTAGACAGCGCTGATGATAAAAATCCTTTTGCAGCCGTATAATATCATAATAACTATGTAAATCAGACCGCCCGTAGCAACCCACAAACAGAGAATCGGATATTCGTATGCTAAGCCTCAACCCGTTCTGCACATCGTAGCCGCCATTTCGCTTTGACATGCACTATATATATAAGCTGTTATATATCCTCGACAACGAGTCGGCTCTCGTAAAAAAGCATTATTTAACTATCTACTCTTTCAGTATTAACGGTTGCCAGCTATGGTGACATCAAACAAATCCTCTCTTGTAAAAACGCTGGAGCGTGCGGAAAGTGTGTGTGAAGAGGTAATGTAAAAATGTACGCGTATCGTGTATCACAAAACCGCTTAAGTTTAATAAAAATTGTCCAACTGTCAAATTGCAAGTATAATTTAAAAGATTTTGTTTGGTAACAAAATGCGTGCCCAGCATTTCTCGATGTCGTCTTTCCTAGTAAATGACCCTATCGGATTACAAAGACGAGTTAAACATTTATCGCTCTTTACGAGTTCAAGAAAACTTTAAAAAGCGACTTTACCAGGATCATATTTACATTGAGAGAAGTTCGAGATAAGTATAGAGCTTGCGTGAATAGGAGTTTTAAGAAAACTTGAAACAAGATGTGCACAAAAGCTTTAGAGATATTTAGTAAAATATTTTACAAAATATACTTTAGTACTACAGAATATTCTGCAAAAACATGTAATAAAATCTTTGGCTTTGGATATTTTGTAATAAATAATCTAGTTCTCACCCCATTAGGAAGTTTATCTAAAAAAATATAATAAAATATTAGGTAAAATTCTACTATTTTTTCCATGTGTGGTGTGACATATTATATATTTTTACTTTTTTTTATATAAATATTTTTTTTATTATACAATACAATGTTATATAATTCAAACAATTTTTTTCAAAATGCATATAAAGTTTTAAATTTCTAATTGTTTTTTATTTCAAAATTGAATGCACTAGTGTTACATCATTTCCATTCTTTTACTCTATGATTATTCTTGTTTGTTATGAAGTTTATTGATAAAATACCATGGAAATCTGGAAATGTGTGTCATACGGTATAAAAAAAATGTTTACTCTCAAAAGATAAAGCGTTTTTAATTGTACATATAGTAGTTGAAAATATTTTAAAGCGATTATATATCACTCGAGACAACTATAGTCAGGCATAAATATAGCGTTTCGACAACGAACCGAGCGCCACAATGGATTTAATAAGCAGTCGTAAACGCGTTACAACCGGTCGACAACGCGGTTGAATGAGACTTTAAACGTTGTGCATGCAGATGGTGCTTCCTTCTGCAAAGTCGATGCGCAGCATTTATTAATCGTAAGCTTTATATAATTACCCTTTGTACGTCAATCGCAACATTGTGCGGCGCATGTTGCATTATTATGTCCCGTGCAGGAATTTTGCGTTGTAATTAGTTGTTATATCAATTATTATTATGCAATATGAACTTTGCATTTCATTTGTTGTACTATTAATATAATATAAAGCAATATAATTATAATAGTTGCGATATAATTGTTTGATATTATTTAAAAAGTAGCGTAAAAGGAATGAAACAACCGATAGAGTTACTCCTTTGAGTTTACAAGAGGGAAGATAACGTGAATCATATTCGTGGTGTAATTACTATACGTGGCGTGGAAATCTTACATGAGGTACGCTAATTAATCTAACACAGATACACGCACGAATATATTGCATCGCATTAGCCTCTTACGAAACTTCGTGCTTTAGTTTGACTGTAGAGTATTACGAGACACCTTCTTGTGCGAATGACGTAAGGTGTAACGGAGACGCCGCGCCGCCTATGTAATTTATCAAGACTTTAAAATATATGCGGTCATAAATATTTTGTCAAAAGTAAACAAGTTTATTATGTATTTTAAGATGGGTATCTGAGAACTATCTCGCTTCGTTTAAAAATGAATATCCCTCTGGCGAAGTTTCTCCAGTCTCGTCAAAGATCGAGAGGTTTCCGTTACATTTCTGTCAAACTTGACGTTAATTAAGAACGTAACTGCGGAGAATACTGTTTTACTTTTACAACCGTCAAATATCGCGTAATCGAGCAAACATTAATAAGATCGTTCAGACAAATTTATCGGGAAGATTGTTTATATTTTATCAAGAGACGGCACGATACGGCATTGACATAGTGATACCAAGGAATATTCACCAAATACGCTAGAGGGTTTAATAAATGCAGGATGATACCGAAGTTTCGCGATGAAAGTTAAGCACTCTTCGAGAGAGCGACGCGAACACGGAGGCGAAGGAGCGAAAGCCGTTGTCCGCGAGCGTGGCAGCCGAACTTCCAGTGTCGTCGTTCTTTTTTTTTTTTTTCGCAAATTAATGCTTTCGCTCGAGATAAAAATTTGCTGAGCCTTGCGTACCAAAAAAGGAAAAGAGAAATATTTACCCTTCCGGCGAGCGAGAAGTTAGCCGTGCCTTGCCTTCCTATCCTCCACCT